GGGGGGGGGGGGGTTTGTCAGTTATCAAAAAAAAACATGATTTGCTCAGTTCCCTCAGTGGATGAGTAATGTGTGGGAGTTCAAAGATTTTAAGAAATCGGATCATTAATTATCTATTTCAAGCAGAATGGGGACATGGGGGCAAAACAGCAGTTTTCCTGTTCAGCTAGACAGCTAGATCCCTCCTCTGTCATAGGGGCCACCTGGTAGGAGAGATAAAGGTGTACTTAGCTGCCTCTCGAGAACAAATGAAGAGAAAAGGCTGTCCCAGAAGGAAAAATAGGGACCCTGGGATTATTGAGGATTTTCAAAAAGCTCCCCTTACACTCTGAATAACAAATAGAAGCTCACTGTTCCAGAGAGTTCTTGTGAGCTTAGATGTCCGAGGGGGTGTCCTGCGTCCAGCCCATTTTGTTGGAGGATAACAGCACCTTGCTGTTCTCTGTTTTGTAAGCTCTTCCCCATGATACCTGCCTGGCTGGCTTCCCTCACCTGGCCCCTTACTCTGCTGTCTTTATCCTGCTTTTATTTTTTAGCCTTACCAGCCCTGGACATTACAATTGCAATTATTTATTTTATGCCTCCTTTTGAGCAATGGGACTTTGCCATTCAGTTCGCTGTTGCCCTGCTGTCCAGTGCTGAACCTGATGCTCAGCACAGAGGAGCCCTTGCATAAATGTTTGCGCGATGTTCTGTGAGGATGAATTCAATGAAGTGGTTGGGGACTGAGTTTGTAGTGGGGTACCACTGCAAGTGGACCTACTTAACTGTTTGTGCTGATTACCTTACTGAAGATGGCTGAGGGAGCGTCACCTCGTGCTTTTTTGCGGATGAAGCGTAATTGTTGTAAACGGAGCATTCATGAACAGAGCCCGGCTCACAATGTATTTATGACAGCAATATCGCACATTTGCCGAGTTCCCTCAGTGGATGAGTAATGTGTGGGAGTTCAAAGATTTTTAAGAAACGGATCATTTACTATTTCAAGCAGAAATGGGGACATGGGGGCAAACAGCAGTTTTCCCTAGTTTGTGCTAGGACAGCCCTAGTCCCTCCTCTGCAGAGCAGGGCCACCTGGTAGGAGAGATACAAGGTGTACTTAGCTGCTCTCTGTAGAACAAATAGGAAGCGAAAAGGCTGTCCCAGAAGGAAAAAATAAGGGACCCCGGGGAATTTATTGTGGATTTTTCAAAGCCTCCCGACACTCTGAATAACAAATAGAAGCTCGGCAAATGTTTCCAGAGAGTTCTTGTGAGCTTAGATGTCCGGAGGGGGTGTCCTGCGTCCCAGCGCATTTTGTTGGAGGATAAACAGTACCTGCTGTTCCTGTTTTGTGAAGCTCTTCCCCAGATACCTGCCTGGCTGGCTTCCTCACCTTGCCCCTTACTCTCTGTTCTTTTATCCTGCTTTATTTTTCTTGTTAGCGCCTACCAGCCCTGGACATACTGTGTCTTTATTTATTTTATGCTCCTTGAGCATAAGGGACTTTGTCCATTCGGTTCGCTGCCCTGCTGTCCAGTGCCTGGAACCGTGCTCAGCACAGAGGAGCCCTTGCATAAATGTTTGCCGCATGTTCTGTGAGTGGATGAATTCGAACAAGTGGTTGGGGACGTAGTTTGCAGTGGGCGGTACCACTTGGCCAAGTGGACCTACTAACTGTTTGTGCTGATTTTCTCACTTGTAAGATGGCGATGGGAGCGGTACCCCTCTCCCGGTGTTTTTGTGCGGATGAAGCGAATTGTTGCAAACGGAGCATTCAGAACAGAGCCCGGCTCACACAGTATTTTCTATGACAGCAACACGTGTCGCTGTATTCACTATTCTCATCCTCCCCGTTTGACTTGGTGGCTAGAACTAACAAGTGGCGCGCAAGTCGTGCAGAAAGTTGCTTTCAAAGAGCCTGAAGCATTCTTCTCCTTTATGCCTTCGATGCAGGTTCTCCGCGTACGATGCCACCTGCCAAATTGCACAAGACATCGCCGAGAAAATCCAACAGCAAAATCAGCATGGAAGAAGTGGTGAAAATACAATCAGGGTGAGAGCAGGAGAGAATTAGGACCCGGAATGGTTTGTCTGAGCTCTGAGCTCTACAAACCCTCCTACTGCTGAGACTGTGTGTGTGTGTGTGTGTGTGTGTGGCTGCGAAGCTTACGGGTGTTGCATTGACCTTACAGTCAATCAGTGAATCATTATAACTGAGACGAAACGAAGCATGACACCCGTTTAATTTCTCCTGTTTAACCGTAAAAGTGTCTAACAATTTCCTAGTCCAGCTCAGGCCCCAGGTAGTAAATCTTTCAGGCTCTGCAGGACAAGAGGCTACGCCTTCACCTCTCTGAGAATCTGTTCTTGCCAAATGGCCTTTTTGACATTTTACATTTATTCTATGTAATACATGTAATAATTTGCATTTTATATAGCTTGCAGGCTGTATAAAAGCAGTGGTAGGATTTGGCTGGGGAACTGTGTTTTCCAGACCCTCATGGGTTCACTCTAGCTCCTTCGATTCAGATCCCAACACCGCGGGTTTCTCTCTAACCTTTCCCCTTCCAAGTTGGTATTTTTCTTTTCCGGCAATCAGAACAGGGAGATCTTTTTGCTCATGGGGTCTGTCTTAGGGGTTGCAGAACACAGTT